AAAAAAAAAAAAAAAAAACAAGCAAAAAAAATTACATAGGTATTCTGCAAAAAGATCTGTGAGGTATCAAAATGTTGAACTTGTATAATCCTAATGATGTAGGCTAAAAATATCTGACACAAAACTGGTAGAATTACAGGAAATTGCTCAAAACAAGGATTTAACAGGAAGTAGTAGGTCAATCAGGCAGAACAAAAAGGGAAATGGAAGGTTTGAATCACTCAATTAACGAGGCTCACTGAGTGAAACTGACAAATCCCACCAAGAACAATTACGCATAAATATTTTAAGAACTTTGAGAGACGTCGTTTGATTACCTATTAAAAATATTACACAAAGGGGCTGCAGAGTGAGATTCTTTTAAATATGTATGAAGGAAAGGTGTGTGCGTGTGTGTGTGCGGTGGATCAGTGTGCGGGAACAAGGAAACAAACTGACACAGGTGACTTCATTTTTTAATTTTTTTGAGGCAGAGTCTTCCTATGTAGTCCAGGCTGGCCTTGAACTCCCTGTGAACCCAAGCTGGCCTCAAATTCATGGCAATCCTCCTGCCTCAGCCTCCTGAGTGCTGGGATCACAGGTGTGCACCACCATGCCAAGCTCCAAGTCCAGATTTTGAAAACACCTTGTGGCCACTAAGGGCGCAGTCTCCAGTAGACATCTGGAAAGCTTGCCAAAGTGTGGTTGGACTAGGAGAGGATTTGGGGCAGTTCTCAGGCCAAGCCAGTGTTACCCACTAGGAGCTAGCATCCCACTTATCCCGGGGAGTGCGGCTCAGTGGGGAGCACTTGCATAGCTCCTGGGAGGCCCTGTGCTTCATCCCAGCACCTCCAAAGAGAATAAGAAGGAGAGGACAAAAGAGCTTCCGTCTTTTATTTTTTGGAGCTGGGGATGGAACCTAGGGCCTCACTTGTGCTACAGAAGAGCCGGCCCCTGACTGGCACCCCCAGCCCAAGAACTAAAAATAGCCAAGCCTGCTGGTGAACGCCTGTGATCCCAGCACTCTCTAGGCTGAGGCAGCAGGATTGTTTCGAGTTCACTGTGTATCCCAGAGTGGCCTTGAACTCATGGTGATCCTCCTGCCTCAGCCTCCCATTTGCTGGGTTTAAAGGTGTGCACTGCCATAACTGGCTCCTCCACATACTTCTTCCTATGTACTTTTTGTCTTGTTTTGTTTTGCTTTGCGATACAGGGGATGGAAGCCAGGGTTTGCACTGAGCTACATCCCCAGCCCTTTTTATTTTTCATTTTGAGATGGTTTCTCACTAAGTTACTAAATTGCCCGGGATGGGCTGGAACATGTGGTCCTCCTGCCTCAGCCTCAGATTGCTGGGATGACAGGCCTGTGCTACTATGCCAGGCATCCTTTGTCATAATTTGGTTAACACTGCTGTTTCCAGTGAGTCGCTCACACAGATTTTTTTTTTTCTACCAGGAATTGAATTCGGGACCTTGTGCTTGCCAGGCAGGTGCTATGCCCCTGAGCTATATCCCCGGCCTGCTCACACAGATTAATCACATGCAAGGAGCATGTTGTGGGGACCTCGGTTTATGGCTGGTAAGTCGGAAGCACAGAGAAAACCTGTGGTGGTGGCTGGGGGCTGCGGTGGGGCAGGGGACAGTCTTGGGACCGGGCCTGCGTCTGTGGGGTCTGCTGCGTCTGCAGGCAGACAGGGACAGAGGTGGAACTGCTTGTGTGCTAATGAGGACTGGTCGCCACGGCTCTCTGGGTCACAGAAGCCGTACGCATGAACTGTGGTATCAGAGTAGGGGGAAAGAGGTTTGTTTCTTGTAACCAAAGCTGGATAAATAAAATATAGCCTTCCCCACAGTGGAACATCGGTCAGCCCGGAGAAATCATGAAAGCCAGAAAAAGAAAGAGAAAAAGAAAAAGAAAGCGAGCCGGGTGTGGTGACGTAGGCCTGTGAGCCCAGTACTTGGGAGGCTGAGGCAGGGGGATCGCTGTACGTTCAAGGCCAGGCTGGGCTACATATCTAGAGACTGTCTCAAAAAATAAAAATAAATTAATTAATTGAAATAAAAAGCCCCCAGCTATTGTAGTTTTCCTCATGACAGGAAATGCTTATGCTTCTCCTGCACCGTCCAGGGTATACTTTTATCTTGCTTTTTCCTCATTTACTCAGCCTGGCCCAGGTTTACTCTGCAGAGCCAGTTTCTCCCTCACTCTTCATGCTTAGGTTTGTAGGTTTGTTTGTTTGTTTTTTGTTTTGAGACAGGTTCTCACTATGTAGTGCAGGCTATCCTTGAACTCACTATGTAAATCAGGCTGTTCTTGAACTTACAGTGATCCTCCTGCTTCTGCCTCCTGAGTGCTGGGATTACAGCATGGAATATCACTTGCTTTTTGTAATAAACGTTGTCACCACTTTAAAAACAAAAACAAAAACAAAAACAGTCCTAGACATTGAGCTAAGTAAAAGAAGCCAGACAGAAAGTCCACAGAAAGGTCAGGCATGGTGGTGCATGTCTGTAATCACAGCGCTCAGGAGGCTGAGGCAGGAAGATCACTGCAAGTTCAAGGCCAGCCTGGGCACAAAGTGAGCTCCAGCCCAGCTTGTACTACATAGCGAGACCCTGTCTCAAAAAGGAAAAAAAAAAAAAAAAAATGAACAACTATTATTTTCTTTCTTTCTTTTTTTAAATTTTTATTGAGACAAGGTCTCACTATGTGATTCAGGCTAGTCTTGAACTCACTTTGTAGCCCAGCCTGGCCCCGAACTCGCAGTGATTTTCCTACCTCAACCTCGAGAGTGCTGGGATTACAGGCATGTGCCACCACACGCAGATATTTGCTTTCTTTGGTTTGTTTTTGTTCGTTTATTTGTTCGGGGTGGGGAGGAAGGAGTCCAAAATCTCACTACTGTATTTCCCTAAAAATAAAACCTAACTGGAAAAAAAGCTCTAGTATGATTTTTTTTTAAGGGTGCTTGTAATATAAGCCCGACCTAAAAAATAGGCCCCCTCCCCCAAACAACGCCCCATTAAGATCATCAGCCAGATGGAATACTGAATTATAAGATAATAATATTAATATAGTTAAGTATGAGTAAATAATGTTACTGACACTCAAACGATGGCGTAAGTCATGGGTAAGCGTTTGCAAACACCCAAGCGGGCGCCATCGCTGCACAAGGATGAGCACGAGGCTCCCTGCGAGGGACAGCAGGCGCAGCGCAGCGCTCGGCCCCCGCCCTGGGTGTGGAGCAGACGCGCCGTGTCTCCTACGAACCCTTCCTAGGCTGTGAGGCACGCGCTTAATGCTCTGGTGTGAAACGTTCTCTGGATTTGTTTCTTTTTGCTACCGGGAATCGAACTCAGGACCTCACGCTTGCCAGGCAGGAGCTTGTGCCACTGAGCTACATCCCAGCCCGGTTTTTGTCACTTTCATGTGGACCTTCATTCTCAGCTGTCGTCATTTTGTTGCCCCGCCTGTCTCCCAAGCCTTCAGCTGACCCTCGCTTTGGTGGAAGCTTTGTGAAGCCACCTGCCAGAGGCCGTGACTTGGGGGAGGAACCGACCGGACAAAATCCTGAGAGCCGTGTGGCCACCGCCCTGCGAGCAGGCGACAGGGACGAGAACCGGGCGCTTCAGGAGAGATCTCCTGCTGGACACGAGAGGTCGGGCCAATGGAAATGGAGTCCCCAGAAAGTCAGGCTGGAATTCGGGGTTGGGAGTCATGACAATGCTCCAAAGAAGATGGCATAAACGTAGTTCTTGTACGTAATAAATGTAGACTGCTGTACATGAGAAAACAGGACATCCCCTGAAAATAAATCCTATTGCATCTTTTGGAGCAAAAATTACTATAAGACCCAGTCTTATTTTCAGGGAAATACAGTAGCTAACCCAGGCTGGCCTTGAACTCTGCGATCCTCCTGCCTCAGCCTCCTGAGTGCTGGGGTTATAGGTGTGTGTCACCACACCCTGACAGGATGAACCATAATTAATCTCATCTTACTGATGCAGAAAGTGAGGCCCACTCGGCTGGAGGCAGACAGCAATCAGTGCCCACCTAGGACCCAGGGGGCGGACCGGGCCCGGTCTTACCTCAGAGAGGTCGTCCTGCTCTGGCGTGTTTGAGCCCCCGCTGTCCTGCTCCTCCAAGTGGGTCACATCTAGGGGGAAGGGACAATGATCCCAGGCACTTGGCCACCCCCCCACGTTCCCAGGAGCCCTAGCTGCACCTGGAAAGGGCTCGCGGGTGAGGCCCAGCTGGCGGATGATGTAGCGCGGGATGTCTGTCTTGACCAGGTGGCCCTCCTTGGCATGGCCCTCCGCCGCCTCCAGCAGGTGGTAGAACTCCTCTGGGTTGAATTCCTGGGGCAGGACAGGGGGTGCTTACCTGGGGCTCTGGGGGACCCTCTGCCACCCCTGGCCGGCCCAGCCTCCTCACCAGGCACTCAAGCAGCCTTGCGGGGCGTGAGATGATGATGAGCAGTTTTTTCACCAGCTGTGTGACGAAGGCCACCTCCAAGCTCTCAGACCGCTCGTAGGCCTGGGGTGGGGACACAAAAGATCACAGCCATGGCTGCCAGCTCCAGCCAGGGCCCATCCCAGCCCGTAGGGCGTGAGTTAGTAGTACTGTCCCATTGTATAAGTGAGAAAGCCGAGGCCAGGACCACAGTAAGAAGAATCATGGTAACTATGAGAAGGATGATAAATAAGAAGAATCAGTCTTCTGATTCAAGCACAGTCCTCAAACTGTCACCAGTTCAGTTTAGCTTTAAATCAGCCCTAGCCAGCTGTGGTGGTGCACACTGGTAATCCCTGTGCTGGGGAGGCTGAAGAAGGAGGACCGAAGTAAGTTCAAGGTCAGACTGGCCCAACTTCTTTTGTTGTATTTTGTTTTTGTTTCTTTGAGATAGGCTCTTGTCATGTCGTCCAGGTTGGTCTTGAACGCACAGAGATCCTCCTGCCTCAGCCTCCTGAGTGCTTGGATTACAGCTGTGTACCACCACATCCAGCAGAATCCCTCTCTCTCTCTGTCTTTCTTTCTCTCTCTCTCTCTTTTCTTTTTGAGACAAGGTCTCACTGTGTATGTACTTCAGGTTGGCCTTGAACTTACTATGTAGCCTAGGCTGGCCTCAAAGTTGTGATGATCCTCCTGTCTCAGCCTCCCAAGTGCTGGGATTACAGGCACATGCACCACAACAGCCACCATAGAATCCCATTTTTTAAAGAACTCAGGTACAGAGGGGTTCCACAGTATGGCAAAGGCCGCACAGGAGGTAATGTAAACCTAGACCATCTGAAGTCCACACTCTGAATCTTGTGGGCCTAATGGCAGAATACAGACTGAAACCCAGACCTGACACCAAAGCTCAAAGCAACACTAACCTGCTGCCCTTCAAGACTGGGCTGGGCCTGAGTCTAAAAGCCCCACACTGGCTCCTGGGCTCTTTCCCAGCTCCACTTGCTCTCCATAGTGCCATCATGTGGCTCCCACGCTGCTGGGGGGTTTGCTCTCTTCTTACCTCAGGGCCTTTGCACATACTGCACCCACTGCTCAGCATAATTCTCTCCAGCTCTCTCCACACTGCACTTCTTGCTTGTCATTGTTGCCCCAGTGTCATTGTCAGATCCTTAGGGAGACCTTCCTGGACTTTACAAAGGAGCCCTGACATCCCACCCAGGAGCCTGGTCCCTCTGTTCCACAGTCCTAAGTGTCTGCAGACGTCATCAGGTCCTTGATGCCCATGTTTCCCAGACATCTCCAGGCAGGGACATCTTTACTGCGCTCAGGACCCAGCACAGAGTGAGTGTCCATGATCACTGCCTTGAAAGGGGCATGATCTTATTTTTTTCATTCGTCTATTCATTTTTTGTTGGTTTTTTTGAGACAAGGTCTCACTACAGCACCAAGCTGGCCTCAAACTCATAGTGGTCCTCCTGGTTCAGCCTCCTGACTGCAGGGATGACAGACGAGCACCACCGTGCCTGACTTTTGTCTATTCATTCAACCACCATTTACTGAGGACCTACTGTGTACTGGGCATCTGAGTAAAGAGCTGAAGGAGGAGAGGGAGATCAGATCCCCGCCTCTCCCAGCCCGAGGCCAGGGACCACGTCCTTCCTGTCTCCTTGCGAATCCTCAGCCCCACACCACGCCTGGCGGTGGTGGGGCTCCCTGTTTGCGGCAGGGCCCGGGTCTCATCTGGGTGCAGATGCGGCTCTCCGCACTCACATCCTGCAGCAGCTTCTCCAGGTTCTCCTGTAGCTCGTAGAAGTACACAGTGGTGATGAGCCCGTCACGGGACTTGGTGAGGCAGTCCCGGGCCAGCTCGATGATCTGGTGGTGGATGAAGCTCAGCACGCCGTCGGCCAGCGGCAGCACGCTGTCAGGCTCGTAGGCGCGGGCGAAGTCGCGCAGCTTCTCCTCCATCTGCGCGGTGGCCTGGAAAGACCGAGGAGGACAAGGGTTGTTCAGCCCGGCAGGATCCGCAGGGTGCTGCGCTCCTCGGCCACCAGGGTGCGCGCGGGGCTGCATCGCCTGGTACGGCCACCAGGGGGCGCCGTCCTCACCTTGGGGAACCGCTCCTTGTACACGTGGTTCATCATCACGATCTCGTTGTCGTAGGAGGAGGGGGAGCGGCCGGGGCTGCAAGGAGAGAACTCGGTCCTGTACAGCGGCCCCCCTCCGAGCCGGCCTCTGGGTCCCTGCATCCACAATCCTCAGACCTCAGCCGGGAATGTTGGTGCACGCCTGTCACCCCAACACTGGGAGGCTGAGGCAGGAAGATCGCAGCAAGTGCGAGGCCAGCCTGGGCTACATAGTGAGTTCAAGGATAGTCTGGACTATATACTGGACGTTGTCTCAAAAAAACAAACTAAACCAAACAAAATAAGCCCCCCCCCCCAGCGTGGCCCCGGGCCCAGCCCCACCTGAGGCTCCTGGAGCGCGGGCGCACGGCAGGGGAGCGACGGCCGCCATCCTCGTCGGTGATGCTCTCGGTGCTGCCGAAGTGTTTGGACAGGAAGTGCAGCTCATCCACCGTGGGCTGGTAGGGCAGCTGGTGCAGGCGCTCCTGGGAGGAGCAGGAGGACTGGGGGGCAGGCGGGGCAGGGTCAGAGCCGCCACAGCCCGTCAGGGACACTGGGCTAGAGCTGGGAGAGGATGTGCCACCAGGCAGGGCCACCATCTGGGCCTCAGCATCCGGGCCTCATGGTTTAGGGGTCTTAGATCCCAGGGGCCTGGGTGGGACTCCTGGCCAGACAGGCAGATAGGACAAGTCACAGATGGGGACTTGGATATGGCCAGAGGAGCCTGGTCAAACTGGAGTCAAGTCATCCTCCCTCTGTGCAGAACCATCCAAGGCTCCCACCTTACCTGGAGTAAACATCTAAGTCCTCCCTCCTGGCCCTCCCACAAAATCCTGCAGCTCATGGCCCTGTGACACTACTGTCACCTGCTTCCACTCTGCCTTGATTGTCCTGCACACTGGCCTCCTTGTGGATCGTGAAGCGAGGCAGTCTCCTGCTTCAAGGCCTTTGCACTGGCTGCTTCTCTGCCTGCATCATCCCTTCTGGGGAGCACAGGTCCTCCTCCGCCAAGTCTTCTCTGCCTGCCTGCGTGCCTGACTTCCTTCCTTCCTTCCTTCTTTTCCTCTGTCCTTTCTCTCCTTTTCCTGTCGTACCCAGCTTCTTTTATTTATTTTATTTGAGATAGCGTCTTCTAAGTTACCCAGACTGCCCTCAAACTTGTGATCTTCCTGCCTCAGCCTCCCAAGTAATGGGGGATACAGCCCTGCCCCATGGTACCCAGCTCCTCTCCTGTGTCTTACTGTCTTCCTGCTTCACCTCCTGACATCCTATGTCTCTATTGCTGTGTACTCCTCAAGGACAGGGACTTGGCTCTGGTTGGACCCTGGGTGAGCAGGTTCGGCACAAAGTTAGGACAGACACAGACCCCCCCCCCATCACCAGTGTGGGCACAGTGACGTCCACACAATGCTGCCTGTGGTCAGAATGACCTTTTTATTTTATTATTTGTTTTGTTTTGTTTTGTGAGGCAGGGTCTTGCTATGGACTCCAGGCTAGCCTTGAACTCAAAGCACTCCTCTTGCCTCAGCCTCCAGAGTGCCGGGATTACAGGCATGTACCAGCACTCCCAGCCAGAACGATCTTTTAAAATATCACATCACTCACTCCCCTGCTTACAACTCCCCATCCCACCTTCATGTATTAAAAAAATTTAGGGACTGGGTGTATCTCAGTGGGAAAAAATATGCTTAGCATGTGTGAGATCCTGGGTTCAGTGCCCATGACACACACACACATACACACACTTGCGCACACACTTTTTTAGTTCTGAGGGCTGTATCCAGAGCCTCAAGCACAATAGGCAAATGCTGTACCTCTGAGCTCCATCTCCATCTCATTTTATTTTATTTTATTTTATTTTAGACAGAGTCTCATTAAGTTTCTCAGGCTGGTCTTGAGTTTGCAATCCTCCTGCCTCAGCCTTAAGAGTGGCTTGGATTAGAGGTGTGTGCTACTTCAACTGCCTCACACAAAATTCAGGGCACATTATCTCTGCCTTGTGAAATCACAGTTACTGAAATTTTGATATAACAACATAAATCAGTAGAGCACAGTGATGCACACCTGTAATCTCAGCACTCAGGAGGCTGAGGCACAAGGATTGCTGAGGGTTCAAGGCCATCCTAGGCTACATAGCAAGATCCTGTCTCAAAAAGGAAAACCAGATGGGCATGGTGGCACACTCCTGTAATCCCACACTGGGGAGGCTGAGGCAGGAGGATTGTTGTGAGTTCGAGACCAGCCTAGGCTACAAAAGTGAGCTCAATGCTAGCCTGAACTGCATAGGAAGACCCTGTCTCAAAAAGCAAAAACAAAAACAAAAACAAAAACGGAAAACCAAAACAAAACCAACCAAAGTCCAGCCATTCTATAGTTTCTCCAGTGCCCGGATGTCAGGTTACCTCTGCCTCTAGCCCCCATCACAAAGCTCTAGCCACACAAGGCAACGTTCAGCTTCAAATGCAGCAAGTCTTCTGGGGCCTCTAACGTTTCCACCATTTGTTCCTCCACCTCAAACCGCCGTTCCCTCTCTTTCACCTGTCAAACTCATGCTGACCCTGTGACTTGGCTTCCATGTGCCCTGCTCTAGAAAGCCTTTCCCGGTGACCCCTTGCAGCTGAGTTCTGTTACCCTACCCTGTGACCGGCCCATGATCCCTGTCTGCTGGAGGGAAGTAGGAACCAGAGAGGAGGGCAGAGAAGGGGGCAGGTGCTTGTCACTGGTTCACACGGTGAGGAAATGGACTCCAGGCAAAGCCCACGGCCTGGCCCTGGCCAGCTGCACACACTTGGGCACCCTTTGTCAAGCTGGAAATGAGCAGGACGCCCAAGGAGACATGCTGAGGGCAGAAGGCAGGGCTTTGTGGGGACGTGTGGGTGCCCAGTCTCCCCTCAAGCCCCTGCGTCCCCAACCCTCACCCCATCCACCACACTCACCGAGACGGTGGAGCTGGGTGTGTTGGTGCCATAGCCAGAGGAGGGGAGTGAGGCCAAAGACCAGCGGCGTCCGTCAGCCCTGGAACCCAGCCCAGTGCTCAGTGCCTGCAGGGCCATGCTGCTGCCACCATTTCTTGGGGCCCGATATTAAGTCACCAGCCACGGCCCGGGCAGGGTGTGGGGAGTGACAATCGAACTCTAATGTAACTCCGGAAGAAAAAAGGTCTCCTTTCAGCCTGGCACGAGAGTCTCAGAGGAAGGATGAGGTTCCTGTACCCCTCCCCACATCAAAAAAGCCCGCAGAGGGGCCCCGAGGGACGGGAGAAGCCACCCAAAGAAGTCATCCCCAGGGACCCCAGCAGAGCCCCCCCCCCGGGAATCCTAGGATCTTCTCAGGGAAGAAAGACCCCCTCCTCGAAGACACACCCTCTTCCCCACTCTCCTGTGTCCGCACACTCTAGGCACACCCTCGCTCACAGCCACACCCCTGGTGCGAGTGTGAACAGAGTGGTCACACCCACAGACTGGCCGTCACACTTTGCCAGACTTCAGATACACCCAGCGCACACAGATGACCTCTCAGCAGGGACACTCACGCGGGGACGCAAATATCACACGCACGCACGCACGCACGCCCCACACCCAGCGCACACGTGCCGCGCATCTTCGCGCTCAGGGCCCTTCCTTGCCGTCACACATTCACTCCCACGCGGCCACACGCTCAGTCACACGAACACAAAGACGCCTACAGCGTCTCAGTCACACACACTTTACAAATCTGCAGACACGCACGGGTTCACATACACCGAGGCACGCGCCCAGGGATACACGCACGCTGTCACAAGCTCACACATCCTTGCTAGCACACAGATGGCAGTCGTGCAGACGCACACCCTATTAGCTCCTGCCCAGCGTGTCCGGGCTCGGCCCTTTCACCACGCAGAGGACAAACCCTAGAGCCAGGCTACTACGCCCTTTGCCCTCAGCTAAACCCCACGCTTGCAAGGAGACTCGCTCGCCCTCCTCGGGGACTGCCCTCTGTCCCCTCGGCCCCGCGACGCCGCAGTGTTTTGCGGTGGTCCCATTCTCTGTCCTGCCTCTCCCACCCCAAGCAGCAAGTAGAAACGGGATGCACGACTCCCCTGATGTCCAGCTCCTAGGACATAGCAAGTGTTTAAACACAGATTTTAGAATGAACAGAGTTCAAAAGAGGAGACCGGCCCACCCCCAGTGTAAGCCCAGAAAGTTTCTCAAAAAAACAGTAGAGAACCTCTCCGCCTACCCCAATTTCATCAAAGTCCCCCCCGCAAAATTCATGGAATGGTATTCCAGAAGCGCTCAGAGAACCTCAGGGAAACCTGAGATTCCTCCTCTTTGGACCTTGAGAAATAGCCTTGGCCACCCTCCGCACTTTAGGGACCGTCCTCGATGGGCTTCGTGTTGTCTGCGCTTGCGCATCTCCTCTCCGCTACCCTGTCCTGTTGCTATGGAAACGCCCGGCCAGGCAAGCAAGGCTAGCGAGAGACCCCGGACCCAGAGCGCAGGCGCTTTCTCTCCGCGGCAAGGAGGCCCCGCCCCCTCCCTATTCCACATCAGCGACTGGCCCCGCTTTGCTATAGTCCCACCCTGAAGTCTGGGAGCTCTTCCCCTCGGGGACCTAGGAGCCACTCTCGGTCCCCTCAGGCCCCAGCTCGGGTGCAATTAGGAGGAGAACAGATGGCGGCCCAGACGGCGGGTGGGGAGGGTCCACACAGAGCTCTGGGGCCCTGGGGAGGAACTCACCTTCGGGAGGAGGCAAAGGAGAAGTGGGCAGGGGTATTGGGGGAGAAGTTGCGGGGGCTGTCCAGGGGACTGCTACCTGTGGTGGAAAGAGGGGGTGCTTTAGGTGTAGGGTTGAGGGTAATCCCATCAGGCCTCTGATCCCCAAAGTGGGTGACAAAGGGCAGCAGTCTTACTCTGGTCCAGTCGGCTTTGGGGTAGGCCACGCCCCCTTTGACTCTAGCTCCGCCCTTCACCTATGGCTCCTCCTTCCTGTCCTGCCCCAGTCCGATCCAGATCCTCTGAGCCTCTGCTCACCCGAAGCCCTTGCTCTGTTGACTTGACCACACCCACGTGTGTGGCATCGCCCTTGTCCAATCCAGGTTCACCCCTTCCTGCTCTATGGCCACACCCCCTGCTTTAGCCACGCCTCCTAACCTGGTCCGCACCCTCCAGGACCGCCCCAACTGTCTCACCCAAGTGGCCTGGAAGCGGCGAGTGGGGTCGGGGCAGCGTGGGTGAAGTGCTGGTCAAGATGAGGCTTTTCCGGTTACTGGTGCGGCAGCTGCACGAAAATAAGGCAGGGGGCCCACGACAGGCCGCTGAGCTCCTGGGCCTATGAGCCACGCTCCCCTCTCAGAGCCTCATTCTCTTCCAGCCACGCAAGCAGGGCAGCGCCTCACGAGGCCTGCGTGGAGGAGGAGGCCTCATCATGCTGTGTGTGGAAGGGGCACACATGCAGCCTGCCTGGGAGACTCCCCCAGAGCAGATGATGTGTACCCCGTGGAGCAGAGTCTCTCGATGTCATAGCCATGGTGACCCTGCTCTGGGGATCCAGAGTCTGTGTCCTTGGGTCTGACAGTGACACGCAGGGTGTGTATCCATACGTGACATCCACTGTGTGACACTGGCTGCATCCAAAGGTGACATCGTGTGCAACACAGCTCGCGTGTCTGTATGACACGGTGCGGAACTTGATTTGTCCCTGACGACGTGTGCTATGGCATGTTCATGACGCATGAGTTGTGCTCCGTGTCTGTGTCGCTGTGCAGCATCCTGAGTGTGTGCAAGTCCTGGTCTCACGTCTGCGGGCGACATTAACACCCCGTGACCCTGGGCAGGCCTGAGCGGGCAGCCATGTCTGATTTCCCAGTGTGTGATCAGGTGTGACTTCGCGTGTTTCTGGCCCGTTTATTCTGGTGTCCGAGCGACACTGCAGATGAGATATCTAAGGATGACATCTGTGTTGTGACACTGCCGTGTGCACTTGGACGGCACGGCTGCGTCTGTGGCGACAGTCCACAGTCCTACGCAGTGCTGGTTCCCGAGTCTGGGTGTGCAAGGCTGTGACCGGTGGCCGCCGCACGGCGGGCTGCAGCGCCGGGTGTGCGTGGCGCCTGCCGGCGTATCTGGGCCACTAGGGCTGATGTGTGTGTGCATGTGTGTGACATCATGTCCCGTGTGACGCTGTGTGCCACTATTTTCAGTGTAAGGCTGTGTCGGGGGGGGGGTCGGTGCTATGAAAAAGACCCCCGTTTTCCTCCTGCTCGCAAGATCCCAGCTCCTGAAGCGGAGCCCCCAGCCCTGCGGCCCCCTCCCTCCCCGGCCGCAGTGACGGAGCAGATCCGCGCCCTGAGCACCGGCGTGGGGGCTGCGGCCATTGTTCCGCGGGTGTCTGGGCCCAACCCCTCCGGGCCGGGCCGCCGAACCCGCAGCGCCGCAGACAAAGGCTCCGCAGCCCTGCCTGGCGCCCGCGCCCCCCGCGCGGCGCCCCTTCCTTCGCGCACCCCACCCCTGGCCCCGGAACCTGGCGGGGGGCCACGCGCGACCCTGCCCGGAGGCAGCATCCCGGCCCCGCCCTGCTGCAGCACCCAGGGTGGGGGCAGGGGCAGGGGTGGAGGGTCGGGGTCGGGGTCTGGGTCGGGGTCGGGGTCGGGGTCTACCTCTTGGTGCGACGGAACATGCTGCCGCCGGGGAAGGAGGGCATCGAGAAATTGGAAAGCGCGGTCCAGAGCGAGTCAGACATGACCCGGCGGCGGCGACATGGTGGCAGGTGCGGCGACGCGGGGAGCGAGCGCGGGGAGCGAGCGCGGGGCGGAGGCTGCAGCCGCAGCGGCCAGGGAGGGAGGGGACGCGGAGGGGAGGGGAAGGGGAGGAGGGGAGCGCGCGCCCTGCGGCCCGGCCGCCGGGAGGGGGCGCTGCCGCGCGTTCGCGCCACGCGGAGCCCGCCTGGCCCAGCAGCCCCCAGAGCTCACCTGCTGCTTTTCCGGGGCAGGGGCAAATCCTTCTGGAAGAGAAAGGGAGAAAAGGATGAAGATCAGCGCGGACCCGTAACCGCTTCCTATGAAGCCACCTCGCTCCTCCAGGATCGGAGGCGGTGGGGCATGGTCCCCGGTCAGCAGGGTCACCTTCACCTTTGGCCTTGCCTTGGTCCCTTCCCCAGGGGCCAACACAGGATCAAGTACTCTGAAGGGACCCAGACAGGGCTAATGAGCTGGCATCCTCATTTGCATATCTGTGCAAATGAACCAGGAGTTTGTGGGGGTTTTTTTGTGTGTGTGTGAGACAGGGTCTTGCTATGTAGCCCCTGCTGAACTCAAGCTCACTAGGTAGCCCAGGTTGGCCTTGAACTCACGGCAATCCTCTTCCCTCAGCCTCCCCAGGGCTGGGGCTACAAACCTGAACCACCAAGCCTGGAGAACCAGGACTCTTTATTTGAAAATATATTTCTGGAGCACCTACCATATGCCACATCCTATCTTGTGAACCGTGAATAAAGCAAATAAAAATACCTGTCCTTTGGGGCGAGCATTTAGAAGGGCAGACAGGCACTAAATAGAGCTAACGCGGAAGTGAAGGAGATGATGTTAAACACAACTGCTATGCAGAAAACAAAGGGGTGCCGTGATGGAGACGACCTGGGAGGGGACACAGAGTCAGATTGGTGTCTCAGAATGGCGCTAAGAGCCAGCCCTGCTGTGGAAGAGCTTTCTAGCTAGAGGGAGCTGAAGGGCAAAGTCTTGGAGCAGGAACGAGCTTAGCATGCCCGGGCATGGAAGGGTGAATAAATACATGCATGCATGAATGAATGACTCCTTTACAGCCTGCCAGAACCGCCCCGTCCTCAGCTAGATTTGAAGAGTTGGGGACCATATTGTCAGGGAAGGTCAAAACAGATTGAAGTGGCCCCCTGGGCCAAGTGATTTTTGTCTGATAATGACAATGTAGTAATTGCTGGCTATTAAGTGCACGTCTCCACATTCAAAGACGAGTTTGTTCTGTTTGTGGAGTGCTCAGAAGGTCAGCAGAGATCAGAAGTTCCAGGGTCTCAGCAGTTTTAAAGGACAGCAATGGGAGAAAGTTGTGTATTCACACAACCTTCCAGCCAGTTCTGTCCAAAGGCCGAAGCAAGCTAGGCGTGATGGTGCACGCCTGTTATCCCAGCACTTGAGAAGCTGAGGCAGGAGGATCACTGCAAGTGTAAAGCCAGGCTGACTTACATAGTGAGTTCCGGGCCACCCTGGAAACCTTGTCTCAAAAAACAGCAACAACAACAACAACAAAAAAAAAGCCAAAATAAAGAACTAAATACTAAATCATCAGAACAGGAATGACAACGGATAGCCAAGCAGCATGACAGAGCATGGTCACAGGATTCCCTGACTCTGTGCAGAGCACAGACTTTGGCCCTGTCAGAGGGGAGCCCAGGCCTCCCAAGCCCCGAGTGACCAGTAATCCAGACCAGGTTTTTCCTCTGTCTTTGCAGGATCGCCTAAAGGAGTAGCTGCGTGGACCCGGGACCGGGCACCAGCAACCCTGCAATGGCCTGGATGAAATCAAGACCTGGAGTTTCCGGCCAAAAAGCCCAGGGCTCCAGACTCAGGTTAAGTGGACCTTGGAAGGAAAGCCTCAGGGGGTCTCTACCACCCAAGAAGTCCTCCGACCCAGCCTCTGCGGCTAGCGCATCCGAAAGGGGTAGGAAAGAAAGGGGCAAGAGGAGCTGCAGATGTTCAGCTCCTTGGCGCCCTGTGCACAGGCACCACCTCCAACCCCAGCTGCAGAGCCTGCTCTGCTCTTCCCGGGATTAGCGGAGGGATGGCGCGGAGGACAGGCCCTTCTAGCTCGGGACGCTGTGCGCATACACTGTGAGAACTCCCCAAAGGGACCCTCCAGCAACATTTCCTAAGAGGGGGACCCGTGCATGGGACGTGTCCAGGCACTGGAGGGGTTAACTCCGCCGGAAGGGAAGAAATGGGGGCAGTCCTGGGCGAGGGTCGCCAGTCCCGGAGTACTGCCGGGTTGGGTGGGTGGTAAGTGAGTGGGAGGGGGTGCTGGGCTGGAGGCGGGGTCCTGCGCTGGAGACTGAAGTCCCGCGTGGCGCTAAACCAATGGATGGGCGCCGGAGCCAGCTGGGAGGGCGGAGACACCTGCAGACCCCGCCCCTCCCGCTCTGGGTGGGCGTGGGGGACCCGATGGCGCGGACCTAGCCGGGCTGCTGCAGTGTTTGGTCTAACTTTTTCGCAGCTCCCCGCTCTTCTCAGATCCCATTCTCCTAGCCTAACCCTGAAAGAAGGGAATCCGGCGAGGACTTCGGAGAGCCCTAGGTGCTCTATATAGCCCTAGATGGGCTCTGTATGAAAGCAAATGAGCGTTCCGACCCACGTCTGGTCTTAGCATCATCGGAAAGCGTGGGAAGTCCTTCCTGCCCTCTGATCAGTTTTTCCTGCTGCACTGGCCAATCAGCTCCCTCTGGTCTCTGACTTCGGGAGCAGTGAATTAGGGAAGCCTGGAGATGAACCCGGTAAGCTGAAGGTATAGCTTGAGTCTGGGCGCACACGGGGCTTCCTCCCAACTTCAGAGCAGCAAGCGAAGCCTCATCTCCAAAGAAGCTCTGCAGGCACGGGCCCCGAGCATGATTTGGGGGCGAACCCTTGATCAGTCCCCTCTCTGAGGTCAGCGTAGGGTGCACAACCTCTCAGAGGTGCTGCCCAAATCGGGAGCAGGGCACACTTCCCAGCCGCAAGATCCCTACCCCGCTGCAGGAGGGAGCACTTGACGTGCGGATTCGTCCCCACCTTCCCTAGCCCAAACCCTCAGTATCCCACTCCGCGCAGTGGACCCGCAGGTCCTGCGCAGGCGCGGCCAGGAGACCAGCATCTTCCAGGCTGCAAGGAGCTAAAAATCGCTCCCGCCCACCTACAAGCTGGGATGGACCTGAGGATCGCGGGGGTGGGGGTTGTAGTGGAGGGGGTCGAACGAAGGGTGCTGTGCTGTCTGGGTGCCCGGCCAGTGAGGGCAGCCGGAAGTGTCCTTGTGGTCGACCAGGAGCGCGGAGGGAGAGCAGCGGTCCCTGCCCGGGAAAGCGCTCCGGGGTGGCTGCGGGCGAGGCTGCAGGCGCAAACCTGTTTACGGCGCCGGGGCCCCCAGGGGCGCGAGCCCTGGGGCTGTAACTTTGCTCGGCCTCGCCGCGGACTGGCGAGGCGCCCGACAGGCGAGGGCTGTGGCCCGCGCTCCTGCGTCCCCTCGGCGGCCGTGCGTCCTGGGCTCCTTCATCCCGCGGCTCCAGACCCGGGCGGTGCCGAGGGGCGGGGTCCCTAGCACGGCCACGGC